GGGGGGGGGGGGAAGGAGAAAGAGGGAGAGTAAGAAAGAAAGAAAGAGAGAGAGGGAGAGAGAGACACACACACACACACACACACAAGCGCGCGTACACACGCACAAGCGCGCGCACACACACACGCACAAGCGCGCGAATACACACACGCACACGGCAATCAGTCGGCGATGATACCCAACCTGGCGTGGAGGCCCAGTGTGCGTTCGACGGCCGGCGGCGAGATCTGGTCAAGTGGCGAGGGAAACCCCGCGCGACGCCAAAAATAGATGGCCGAAATACGTCTCTATATTTCAGCCAATCACAGAGATGTGCTACATGCTCGCTGTAGCTTCAACGGAATATTTTTCATATTACTACGTTCTATATGCCTTCAAGGGAGTGATTTTAAGGAAACTTTCCGTGTTTTAGCAAGTCACGTGTTAAAATCCGGGATATCTCGCTTGTTATAAACGATATTTTAAAAAAGCCCTCTAGGCCCCCTCCTAACAGGTTGCAAATACCTATCCTGAGTTAACTCTTTGAAAATATTGGCTCTGTAGCTTTATAGATAAAAGAAAATTACGCCAGCACTAACATAATGCTTTATAAGGGGTTGTGACACTCTAAAGTGTAAAAATTTGTCCGGAACGCAGAAGTAGAGTCCATCTGACTACCTGAATAACGTACAAGACCCCCGAAGTCATGTAAAATGCCCTTAAATGATTGCTAAGTCTGTGCATAACGGATTTCGAAAAACGATCCCTTCGAAAAAAGCATGCTGAATGCTGGTCTTCCCATCTTGGCCCAAGGGCCTAATCATAGCATGACCTTTTGACCATTTTTTAGAGGCTTCCGGGTCATGATACCTACTTTTGGTCACTTTTTTTTACAAGTAGGCCTAGTCGATCCAGTCGAAAAGCCTGCGACCACTGCCTGGAAGGATACCGACTTTCTGAAGAGCGATGAAACATGCCTGATCTTATCTTGTGCCACCAGGCTCTCAACGCAGACTGCTTGTTGTAACAGTCTTCCAATTGAAATTAGTACACAGTTTCTCTTCATTAGAGAGAGAGAGAGAGAGCAACATGTGTAAAGTAAGAAAACAAAAACAGGTTTGTAGATCTAGATTCTAGATGTCTAATTGTTGAAGTGAGAGAAAGTTCAGATCAGAAAGGTCAAAATCGAAAGTAGATCTAGATTCTAGCTCTACTAGGGGGCTCGTTGGAAATTGCCTTCCCGTTTGTTTACACGTATGACATATAAGGAACAGAAGTGGTTGCTAAGGACAAAAGTGGCCATATAGGCTAAGTGAACCCTACCATATTAATCTTAGATCTAGATATAGATCTAGATCTAGATCTAGATTCTATACACTAGATTTCTAGATCTAGAATCTAGATTAGTCAGTAATATTTTTCTACCTCTTTTTGGTGAAAAAAAAAATATTTTGGCTGGATTGATCTTTGGTGGACGCACAGTGTTTACTTCTGTATTAATTTAAGGCCTCGTTAATTTAATGCGG